CATACCTACATACATGCATACTCAAACAAGGTATGAGAGTACCAAGCATCATCAAGAGTATCTTTGCTCATGACATGAACTCTCACTAGATCAGAATCCTAAGAGCTGCTGTGGATTATGTACTAGGATCTGCAAGTACCAGATATGTTGGAAGCACTTGACATCTCCCAAACTTGTTGTTGACACTTCTTTAGATACCAACTAACATTAGTATAGCCTAATTCATTTAAAATACCACAATTCTAAACCAACCTACAATTTATTTGGTGCTATCAATATTGATGGATCATTTGATGTTCAAAGTGTAGGTGATGAGAAAGTTGAATGGATAGAGGTGGTCCTCAAAGAAGGAGACTCAAAAAATCATTTCACTTTGACTTCTCAAAACACTGCAGCAATGGATGAATTTTGATGCCCCCCCCAAGAATAGTATGAATACAAAATTACCTATCAAACTAAAACAAGTCACAAGGGAATACATTTGACTCAATTCCTAATTAATATTGCCAATGCAAGAACTGGTGTTTGCAAATTATAGTAGGGAAGATCTTTTGGAAAATAAGTTGATTCCAACTTGGTCTTGTTAGTACACCACCACAAGCAATTGGATTTGTGTTGCTGTGCTTGTGGTTCTTTCACCACGAGTTAGACCTTCCATTGGTCTGTTTGTAAGAACACCTCCTCTTCTTATAAAAAACAACACTGCCAACAACAATGTTCAACATAGATTAAAAATCAATGAATTCCATTCTTATTTCAGAAACAACAAGCAGCCACAGTGCTTTCATGATTGATAAGCAGTACTGTTTACATCAGCACTAACTTAGTTTTTGCACCATAGTAAGTGCATCAATTCTGTTTCTTTCTCACAAGGCAAATCCCAAAATGGTGGTGAGCAACACTCAGTAGAACTCTGTAGAAGTTGTACTACTAAAAATGATGGCATAATTAAATTTACGATGGGAACCACAGATTAGTGGGTGGATCAATTGTTATGATATTTGTAGTAATGGCTATATTACTACATATAAAATAACAATTGAAATTACATTAATTGAGGCATGGGTGTAAAAATCACTTGTACAACACGATTGAATCATATGATTGAATCATATGACTCATACAATTAAACTGGTATGTGGTATGTTTAAGCATATGCACATCCAAATCCTATGAGTATATTGTGGTCACTGGCTACTCATTCCAGTACCAAATGATAACCCTGGAGGAGCCTCCTAATGACCCCTTAACACAGTAGTACACAGTCATAGTATCTCATCAGACTGATACACTATAACACTGTGTTGAGTATGCAGGGGAAGCTTCCTATCGGTTGCTTTTACACACACTTCTTTCCTTTCATCCTAATCTAAACACCCTTATCATCCCCCAACACATACCTTAAAACAAGGAAGAAGGGCTTCCTTTCCTGCTAATATGAATTCAAACTGTTGAGCAAAGCATTAAGGACGTTCAATTTAAGCAAAAAACACAGTACTCATTTCTACACAGCCTACTATGCTGCTACTAACATTCGGAATGTTAAATTAACTCAATTGACATAATAATGGAAGTCAAAACATTAAAAAAGACTAAAATAGTTTTGACTGTAATTGGTTCTCAAAGAGGAAGGGGGTTCTGGGGGTTGGATTTTCAAGAAAATTTCCAGATCAATCTTTTTAGTCCTAGAGCCAGTAGGGTTTTAACTATAAGAAACATCGTAAAACAATAAAGTTATAGTAATGAGATGTCAGCTTAAATGCTGGTGGCATGCAACTAAATTGAAAATGGGTGATTCTCGTTGTTATAGAATGCTAAATGTGCTAAATCTATGAGTTTAGCACTTCTATAATAACAGGAATCAAAATTTCAACAGACAAACCGAGAGGAATGCTGGCTCGATGCCAGTCTTTTTGGGAATTTGGAATCTTAACTATTCTCCAACGTAAAGACAAAAAAGACTTAAAACGCGTGCCACTTCTTGTTGGTGGTACAAGGAAAAACACAAAATTTTGGATCGATACTCCTGTAGTAGGAGGAGCACACATTTTTTGATACTCCCAAGAAAATATAATCCGTATCAAAAAATATGTGCATTCCTCACACTAGGTAACGAGTCGACAAACAAACAAACCATTCCTAGTCACACTAAAACACCAGTGTTCCCCTCTGGCAACAAACAAGGCCACCATGGGAGTAGTGGAGGTCATTACAATGTACTGGTTCCTCCAATTGAACGCGGAGGATGAGCAAAGTTATAAAAGCAAACTATCTCCAGAAGAGAGGAGAAGAAGGGACAGAAGAACTCCACTGCTTGCAATCTGGAGATACAGTGATTCCCCCTTCCTCCATATGTTCCACTCAGGGGATTACCAAGCACTACTCAACTGCTGTGGTGTAGACCACAGGGTCTTCAGGGAGCTTGTTGATGTTTTTGCTCCAGTATACAACAAGTTTACTGTTAACAACAACGACGAGATTGTGGAAGTTCCTTGTTATCCTAGTGGCAAGCCAAAAGGGAAGAAGGGGGAGGTCAATGCACTCTGTGCTATTGGACTTGTCCTCTATTGATAAAACAAGAGGATCTGTTGCATGGTCAATGGCAATGGCCTTTTGCTTAACATCCACAGTGATGTACAAATGGCTCAAGTTTTCATGGAGAGTGATGCTTGTTGCCCTTCACAAACACCCACTTTCCATGGTCAGTGTTCCAACTGAGGATGAAGTGGATGCTTATGTTAAGGCTACTGGAAACAAGTATCCAAGGCTTGGAGAACAATTTGTTTGGGCTGCTGCAGATGGTCTCAAGAGTGCCATTGAAGCCTCAGAAGACTGGTTTCAACAAAGAGTATTCTACAACACCTGAAAGGAGAACACCTTTGTCAACAGTGTGTTTGTCTTGGCACCAGATGGTAGAGTTAGAATCTCAGTCTTCAACTGTCCAGGGGCTTGGCATGACAGTGCCATTGCCAACCATGGTGGCTATGACAGGATTGAGGAGGTCCACGACCAGTCCAATGCAAAGGTTGTGGTGGATTCAGCCTTTGCATTGAAAGATAAGGGGCATATCCTCACCAAAAGCTCACAGCAGGACCCTGAGGAGGACAATCTCCTTCTTATCAATAGGGACACCACATCCTTGAGACAGATGTTGGAGCGGGGGATGAGAATGATTCAAGGACAGTTTCCAAGAATCAAAGACAAGATGCTCTTGGAGGAGCATGGAGGCAGGAAGATCATCATAAGCTTGTTGGTGAACATGTACAACTACCAATGCAGCAATATAGGACACAACCAGATCCGATCAACATTCATGAAGAAGCTGGCAGCAACTGCTGTGGAAGAATGGTTGGTAAGAAGTGTTGTTAGTGTTGTTGATGGTGCTGCTCTGACAAGCGAGTTGCTGCTGAAGCTGCTGTTGTGTGCTTTGCCATTGGTTAAAACAGGCCATTGCCATTCCAAGCGCGTCCCTCCACATCTCATTGGTCTCTTCAGCAATTTGGCTTGCCTCCTTTGCAATCTTAGAATGCTCTAAAGCTATCTCATGGTTCTATTTGTCCCTTTCTTGCTGGCTCTTCAGATACTCATTGAATCAAGTGACGTCAGGAATGTTCTTTCAGTACAATCTCTTCAGTGGAGTCGATTGTACTTTTGCTGGCCTCACAATCGATGAGTCATCAGTTGTTGTTCCATCACAAGCAAGGATAATGGGTGCTCTTCCACTGGATGCTTCAGCAGGGGAGATCCTCTCCAAACCCTCCTCAGCCTCACTCTTAATGAAGCCTTTCTTCATATCAAAGTTCTCCTCTCTGGTACCAATATTTGCTTTCTTTCCAATCAAGAAATGGGCCTGTCTTGCAAGCTTCACATACCTAGGCATACCTAGGCATGTTGCTGTTACCAGTTGAGCTTTTTCTCTTTTCACAGAACTGTACTTGTTCCTAATGGATTTCTTGCTTCTGTCAAAGGGGAACTTTGCATGCAGCATGCTTGGTGACAACAGTATTCCACTGTTCTGAATTGATGGGGAGTACCTCGTCCAGTATCAACTCCATGAGGCTCTCTAGCTCTTCTTCTGAGTAGTTAACAGTACCAGATCATTGGCCATTGTTGGCNGTTGGCGTTGGCGTTGGCGTTGGCGTTGGCGTTGGCGTTGGCGTTGGCGTTGGCGTTGGCGTTGGCGTTGGCGTTGGGGTTGGCGTTGGGGTTGGGGTTGGGGTTGGGGTTGGCGTTGGCGTTGGCGTTGGCGTTGGCGTTGGCGTTGGCGTTGGCGTTGGCGTTCGCATTCACATTCGCATTGGCATTCGCATTGGCATTCGCATTCGCATTCGCATTCGCATTCGCAATTTTAGAATAACGGGAATCACCCATTTTACGCTTGGTACGTACCGTGGGATAGGGGTCATAAATTTAGAGGCACAAATAGTAGGATTTTGATAAAGCTGTAACTGCTTCAAGGTTGGATAGTTTTACTAGTATTATGCAGTAAAAATGAGAATGAAAAAAAATCCTTGGGTGACTTTTTGGAAATTTGGACTGCACATGGAATATGACTAAGTGCAGTTGTTCCTAACTGCTCTTAGCCTGAGTTATTGTAGCCTTGACTTTCCTTCTTCCGTATTGCTCTTGCTGGACTGGTAACATGGGACGTTCTGGGCCTCCTCTTGGTACTATGGTACCGTATGGTTGTACTCCTGGGGTCTAGCAGGGTTCTACAGATTTAAGTGGTCAGTTATTCGACCTTTCGTAGTGTTTGCCAAAATTAGGATTTGACTAATGTGATTAGATCTACGAGTAGGGAAATGTGTAATGGTCTTGGGGTTTCGAGGTGGCGTCTTTGACGCTGTTGACCCATTACTGTTTTGCGACTGGTTTTTCTCCATTGGAACACCTACTTGTTTGGTGGTAGGTCCGTCTTTCGTCTGTCCGTCGTTCCCAATACTCAACGAGTTTCGACGTGATGCGCACCCCTCTAAATTATGACCCCTGCCGTGGGATGCACTTCGTTCGAAGGATTTGGATTTTGTCTTTCTTTTTTCCATTTCCTTTTCGACTTCAGTTATTGTTGGTACCATCGAACATTCACATCGAACGTCAAGGAATCGATTGATTAGACCTAATTGACGAGACTCAACATCTTACGTTTTCTGTCACTTTCGCAGTTCATGAATCCCGGCGTCTTCTATGAAACAAAAAATTGAGCAAACATTTATGCCAGAGAATGCATAGACGCAATAGTGACATCGTGCTTTTGAACGTCGGAGGAACATTGTTCACTTCGTCAGTTTCGACACTCGTTAGCTCTTCCTCGTATTTTGAAAGTCGTCTATCCAAAGAATGGCAAGAACAGGATACCATCAGCGAAGAGCCGATAGTCATCGACCAAGACCCCAAAGTCTTTTCTATTCTACTTTCCTACATGCGACTGGGATATATAAATGCTGATGAGATCACAACACCAGTTTTGCTGCTAGCAAAATTCTTTGGGATTGAACAATTATTAAGGGCAGTTAAAGCCGAGGCAAGACGATCGAAGTTCGAGGGCCAAAATTTGGAGATATTTTACACGGCTCAAGCTGCTTTTTTGGTGACAGAAAACGATGTTAGGAAGGAATTTGCATCGGTGTCCATGTATAATCCCTATTCTTTGTCTTTCGTTAACAACCCTGTTAACGATGACGAAGATATTTTACTCACCGTTCCAGACTTCGTTGTTAGTGTTGAGGTTCCGCGAGAGGATGGAACGGTGGAAAAAGTTCCTAATTGTGTCACCTTCATTGATGCCCTGAACTATTTGAACAAGTTGGGATATACTAGGTACGAGAAGGATATGCTCGAAACAACGAAACAACTTTCCTACATCCAGGCTCGCCTTTGGTTCTCAAAGTTAATCTTGCATGATGTAGAAGATATGGAAGTTGATTCCAAAGAAGATTTCTTCGCAATGAATAAAACAATCATCAAGAGCGACACTCGGGAGAAGCGAAAAAGTTACCCTAGACAATTTTGTTGCGTGATTGAAAATTATGCCCGAGAACTCGATGATTTTGAACGTTCCATGCTTGAGGCACAGGTTGGAACAACAAAGACACGTCAAATAATAGATCACCATGGCGATGAATCCGAGGAATTCCTGATAAGCAACGTAGAGGTACGAAGTACTGTTCAGGGGAATATTCATTCGAAGATAAAACAATCCAATTGGCTCCAGAGGCAGGGATATATTCACAGCGAGGCCGAGATAGCGAAAGCATATGGAGTAGCAATTAAGTGCCTGAAAGCTCACTGCGCGCCGAACAAAATAGGCCTAGATAAAGTTTCAATTTGGTCTCGACCATTGGACAAAAGCGACATTACTTAGGCAAATCATCTGTTGTGTCACGACAGCACCATAGTAGTAGAGAAGCTGAATGAATCGACTTCGTCAGAAGGGCCCTTTTCTTAGCATGTTCAAGAATGGTCATAATGAAGATACTTGATACAAGTGGTACCGTTTGAGAGAAGTAAATACTGCATGGCAAGTGCTCTAATTAGTCATGATACGCTATCTACTGTGCGATACTACGAGGTTCACGACAATTAGTGAACTTATTTACTCATCATCTACTCGTGATTTTGTTTTAGCCTCACTGTCCTATTGCAACACAAAATTTCTTCTACTTATCATGTATAGGATCGACAATACAGTAACACTGCGTTCAGCGCCAATGCAAATTAGAGTCACCTAACTCTACATAAAATGATCTTTTCAGGGCTGATCCCGGGTGATTTGCAACTTGAAGGTACTAAAGTTTTCCATACAGCACAAGAACCTCAGCCACAAAGAAAAACGCAGGGATCGTTCGATTCTAGCATAACAGGCAATAGTCGTAAACGAGAGTATTTTGCCCATAACATATATGGCCTCCTAGACGTCGTGGAACGAGAGGGCCTCCAAAGTATTCTTTCGTGGATGCCACATGGTTTGTCCTTCAGGACTAACAATCACACTAAGTTCGTGGAGTACATCATGCGAAGAATTCTTTCTGGAATGCATTTATAC